CTTGTTGTAAAGGTANATTTCCTCAGCACTCAAGAGTAAAAGTCTGGACTACTGTTTTGTTCTTAAGCTAAAACGCAAAGAAAATAGTGAGAACAGATTTCCTGAAAAACATAACAACACAATGAAGTGGCAGTCGCTTGGCGCGAACGATCATGCCACCGCGCCTGCAGTTGTAGCCACAACTGTCTGAAGCTCGAATGCTCGCGACTTTTCTAAAACAATGTTTTATACCTCAGTGCATTTCTCAGAGATTAACATACTCTTAAAATAAAATACAATTTAGACGTGACCAAGCGGCAAGTTGGCCTGCGGTGCCGGCCAAAGAAAGAAAGCCGAGAAGAACTGCTCACACAAAACAACGGAAATGAATGAACTACTTTTGTTCCCGTCTATTTTAAGCACGTGACGTTGACGTCTGCTTGTCGACTTCCTGTGTTATACAGGGTTCTTATAAGGCACTTGTACCGAGCTAATCCTGTAAGGCATCCGGTTACAGTACAGTGGCGTTTCTGTGCAGAGCTGTTCGTCTTTCTGTTTTGAAACGGTGTGTGCAGGTACATCAGACGTTGGTAGAAGTCGAAAGGACCTTCGACAAAGGGTAGATAGCAAGTCATTTTTTGACTGTTTTGGTTTTTAAACAAATCTCGATTTTGTCGTCTCTTTACCAGATGTTTCGTAAAAAATAGTTAATCCACTGAATGCTGTATTGCAAATATGCTCTGAAGTTAATCATCAGTAGACGCTTTCTTGGCGAACATTTAGAATAACTTATGTCTCTAACTTCTCACAAAGTGTAGTATTTGAAACAAATTGTTCAATTTACCGCTGCGGCTTATGTGACAAACAAATAGCTGGCAAATCACTGGCAAATGTGTGAAAGCTTTAGATGCCGGAATTAATTAAGAGAGGTCTTCACAGACCTGTATAGAGTATTGGGAGCCGGTGGGAAAAACAGATTTCTTTAGGGTAATACACTCGAATCACAAAACCCGGCCGAGTTTAAAAGTTGTGTTCGAAAGGTTTGGCCGAAAAGAACAATGTAAAGAGTTGTCACGGTGAAAACTGACTTCCCTGGGAAATTATATTTCAGGGACAAATGGTAAAATTCCCTTCAGTTGCAGAGCGAAATTTTCAAGGCGCGTGTTCATGTAGTGTATTATTTGGTAGAGTGAATGAATTTTGGTTTGAACTAAAACAGACAGTAATAACGCCACTTGCATCTTACTGTACATAATTTTGTTTCTGAGATTATTAGAGGCAGCTTAAAATTCTTGAATTACCCAAAATAGTGCCTGCCATTTTGACCACGGCAAGATGTAGAGTTCCTCTTTTACAAGGAATCAATCGAACGTGGCGTGCGTTCAATTTTCACTGTTGGAGATTCATGTAAATTTAGTCTATGGTTATTTTAAGCTAAGGTGTTCCTGTAATCAGTCAACCACAGCTTTAGTACTGAAACAGTGACACCTAGGTTAGATAACGATGACGCAAGTTTGGCGCATGACGTTTGCGCTGATTAGTCCCCTAATTAATTGTGTGACCCCTTAGGGTTTTCTACGTTTTCATTTTCGTGTTGAACAGAAATGCTACGTCGAAAGAACGCCAGCTAATAAGTGGAATTATTATATGGCTACAACGTAGCTCCGTGAGCGGTCAAGCGGGCAAGGAGACCAAATCCTGCGCTGTGATTGGCTACCCGAGCAGGCAAGATGGAGCTATCTTGCCCGCTCGGGCTGCCCGCCGTGTCCCGCAAGTAAAATTACCGCGAAAGCCATAAAATAAATCCTTTATTGACCCAGCTTGCTCGGTCAAGATGGCTGAATATTGGCCTCGTTCATTTTTGCGTGTTTATGGACCTTAATTCCGTCTCGCAAAAAAAGAACTTGGCCAAGATCCAGCCATCTTGATCGTTGACCTCACGCTTTCACTTGATCCCTAAATTTGAGAGTTATTTCTTGAACAGAGTTCTCCAAAGTTCTCATTTTGTGCAGACGTGATTAAGGCTAATCTTATTTCCAACATACCGCCTCAAACTTATGAAACTTGATATTTGTAACTGATCGAGTATTTCAGCCGTTATAGTTTTTTTTTTTGTCACCAAGGCCAATGTAAAAATTTGCAGAAAAGACTACTAGTTGGTCTCAGCCACCGATAGCATGCAGATGATTGGACGAGAGAAAAAAACGAAATTGGATTAAAGTTATTAAACTGAAAGGTATCCGTTGTAGCACATATCAATTGTGTTTTTCTTTTCAGTTCGGACCGCAGCTCCGACAGAATTACGACGATATGCTTCGGAAGTTTGCGAAGCTGACTAGGTATCGTGATCAGACTTCGGATAGCCAGGTAAGAATACGGTTTGCAATGGATATTGACTGAAGCTTTTCCTTTGAGGTCAAGGTATGGCTTCAGTTGAGCCCCGGCCAAACGATTGCAATATTTCAACGCAACATAGTGCAACATTGTGCGCGTTTGGCCACTCTGTTCGACGTGTTGCGACATGGTGGCTCGAGTTTGGAAACAGTCAAATTTGAACGAACAACACCCAACGTGTCGCAACACGTCGCAACAGAGTGGCCAAACGTGCATAACATATTGCGCCCAACAATGTTGCAATATGTTGCGTTGCTCAACTGGGAAATAAACCAAGTTCACAATCCACCGAGCTGTATATTAAAAGTTACTTGCACATGTTGGAGAATATCTATCTGATCCCTGCTTTAGCATTAAAGCTATCGAAAGAATTCCGCTAAGAAGTCCCCCCCCACCCCGCCGAGTATAAGCCTTCCCCAAAAAAATACCACCACCCCAGGAATATAAACCTACTAGTTTATTTGCAGTTGTCTTGATCACGGCTAGCGAATTCTGCTGTAGAGTTTGTTTTGCATTTTATGTCGTTATGATGTGTTCTTATTATGTACACGGAAAATTCGGACAAAAAATGTCCTAACATTCGATCCGATGAAAGTTCTCTATAAACCTTCCCGCCCCGAAAATAAGAGCCCCAGCCCTTGTGGACAAATATCATCGAGATTTACGGTTTTCTGATGCCAGGTTTGTAATTGATATGTGAGGTCGCCATTTGTTTTAACCCTACCCACTGTGCCTAGATAACCTCTGACAAATACACATTTTCGTTTACTTGATGGTCGCGTAAAAAGACGCCGCCGTCTTTAATGGTTCAGTAGCCGAGGCATGTTGAACATATCACTAGTCATGGCATCTAGTTGGAAACAGTTTTCAATTTGACTCGGGACAGGCAAGAGGCGGTCGTTTTGGGTAGATGTTCTTTGAAATCCTGCAAGGCTTTTTCTTGCAAAGTGGAATACCTGTAGGAAATTTATTTTTATAATACGTATTTAGTGTTTAATAACGAGTTTTCTCCGTTTATAGAAAGTTATTATTGTTTTTAGCGTTAGCGAATTCCAGTTCTCTCGCGGTAATAGTTTCCAAGCTGCATTTGAACGTTAAAAAACAACAGCCTGTGATGTTGTTACTCCAGCCAAGTTCATAATTAGCCGAACGAAATATATTTGATTGCTGGACGTTTCTCTTCATTCAAAATACTATGAACCAGCAAGTTATATTGCCTCTGTGTCGTGAGAAACACAAAGACTTTTCATGTCAAAAGCGCGCGTTTATGAAAAAGATCGTGACATAATGTTTGGAGTATTTCCGTTGATATTACCTCTGTGTTTACATGTATATTTAGTCTTGCCGTTAGTTATGAGGGGATCTTTGTAGCCTCTCGGTCGACTTGCATTAAAGATTATGTGTGTAGCAGTTCTATAAAACTCGTTACGGTCGTGGAGCAAGACAGCTGATTAAGTTATTGGTCAGAGGAGATTGAGTATTTCTTGACGGAATGTGGGTGGGGTGAAAAATAACTTTTCACTGAATGATCTTTCGCCTATTTCATGCCATTCAAGGTAATTATTTGAGGTTAATCAGATTAATTCCTTTGATTTGTTGCCATTTATAGTCTCATTCTCTTTTCAGTTGTTGTGTTTTTGCTCTTTTCCTCTTGAATGTAAACCACTAAGCAGAATTTTCTAATTTCTTTACAAGTTTGTCAGTCCATATTCTTGTTACTGTCGCGAATCCCCGCGAGGAATACGATCCGAGTCAAAGTAAAATGACAGATGGAAAGGAACACAATTTAATGGACATATTTCACATTTTATTTACTTTTGTTAAGTTCACTTAGTAGTTCTTGTTTCATGTTGAGAAATAATTAGTGTAGTTCTTGATTCGTTTTGAGAAATAATTACTCATCAAAATTCAGGAGAACTGCTTTCCAGATCAGCAGCCCTGTAAATGCACGTGTGAAATTTGTTCAGAAGGGTCATGACAAATGAGTGAAGCATACATACAGTGTCAGGTCGTCAATAACTTGAATAACTTCGCATCACTATAGGTATCTTTAATGACTCCCTGAATGCCACATCTTATGTATAAGATTACGCGGTGAACTGTCTTCTAAAGCATTCAACAGCTTGAAGTCAATAGTCATCGTTGAGTTTCTCTCTCAATTTTTAGAACGTAACAAGCGAGATGGAGGAAGGAGAGATAAAAATAATCACTAGGGAAGGTCAAGTAGCCATGGATTTCAGTGGCGAAACAGGAAAAGTCATCACAGATATGAAAGAAATTCAACAACTTGCTAACACAAGAAACAAAGTGGTACGTCTCAAGATATTGATCCTCTTCAGTAACAGGGCTTTTGTTTTCGGTATTAAATGATTTTTGTTGTGCCGAGTCGGACAGACAGGTACAGCAGAATGATATCTTTAATGCAACATTTTCACTTCTTATTTTTGTGTTACACAGACACTGACTCGCCGCATTTCATCTCAGCGCTTCGTCCCTACAGACACAGCTGTTTCAGGTACCACTCAGTTAATCAATTATGCCTTTTAGTTTTCGCTAGACATCAGATTTTGCAGTACACATCTATTCTATTGCCTATTTACTAACATACGTTATGAATTTAACATTATTTATGCTGGATAGGCCAGCAGAAATCACGATTAGCTCAATTCATATTCATTTTTTGTGTTCTAGTGCCCTTTGTGTTTTTATTTTAATGGCCACCAGGCTTAACGCAATTGAATGAGAATTTTGAATACAACAAAATAACCTATGTGGCACCCTTGAAGACCCGGTGATATTTCATCGAGTCACCTAGTATGACGTGATCGTTGACCGAGACCAGTAGTTGAATCACCTCAAATTCATCAATACCATTTTGTATGTCACGTAATCATCAAAAGTAGCGTGACAGAACCGTGACTGTAGACTAATGCAGAGCATTCTTGTCACCCATTCCTTGTAGGACAGCAGTTTGTGAGCGAGCCATGGTACCACGGGCGAATTACAAGGGAACGCTCGCTCGAGTTACTAGTGGCTGCTGGAATAAAGGACGGGTAAGCTAGCTTATTTGACGGGTACATTCTAGTTATCTCTAGTTATGCAATGCTTTCGAGTGGTATCAGTACCATGAAATATCCCACGAGTAAAGGTAAAGGTAAAGGTAAACTTTATTGAGCCAGGGTGGCCCATTCAGCGACGAGGCTGATATCCAGAGGGACCCTGGTCTAAAAATATCTAGTAATAAATAAAAATACAAGACATCGTAATAATTTAAAAATACAAAATAAAATTTAAAACAATACAAGATATAAATTTAAAAATGCAAGTAATAATTGAAAATATAGAGTATAAACGAGCATGCAATAATTTATAAAAATCTAGTTCCTATATGATTTAAAAATTGTAGGCGTCAATTGAAACTTTGAAAGAAGAAAGTGACTCGGCGTTTTGAATGGTACGAGGTAAGAGGTTAAAAAAAGCTGAGCCTGAATATCTAAAGGTTCGTTTTGCAAGGCTAAGTTTGGGTATGGGCAGGTACAAATCTGTTCTTCTGCGAGTATTGTAGTTATGCACGTTATAATTGTATGTTATTCTTATGCACAGGACCCTTTAGGCGAATGTGTGTATTCCAAGAAAATACAAGTGACAAGTGGGATATTCCATGGTTTGCCACTCGAAAGCGTTACATATCTATTTATAATATGCCAAAATAGGGGTTTCATTAAAATTTTCAGCATAGGGTAACTGATTTTCACAGGCGGGCAAAGCTATTTGAACTTAACTTCTAATTTAAGAAAAAATTTTCCTCTAGATGGTCAAACCAGGTGGACAAAATCGTCCTCAATTTGCCTGGTGACCGGCTGTTAATGAAACCCCTGCCAAAGAAAATACCGTTGAGTGGCCAACGCAATCAGTACAGCGCACAATGGCAAGGTTAGGTGTTATACCGTCGAGTATACACCGGCCTTCCTGTATTCTGATTGGCTGTATTTCAATGGTATCGTCAGCTCGTAGAATCCATCTTGTTTCCACTGTGGCTGTTGCTGAAAGGATAGACCTCCGAAAACGACTTATCCCTCATATTTTTGGAAGTTTAACTGCCATGGCATCATGTGAAAACGCTCTACATATTTATGGTCATTTTTAAACATTTTAGAGGACTTTTCTTACTTACTAGATTGAACAGGATTTAACTACCTGAAAGAAAAACTCTCCGAAGAATACTAAACCCGAATGTAACGACCTAGATCGTAAAATTTGACGTATTCACTTTGCAGGCTGTTCCTTGTTCGTGAGAGTAGCAGCGTGGCAGGCGTGTTTGTGCTGACATTTTGTATGAATAGAAAAGTATATCACTGTGAACTAGTACAGGTGCGTGTCGAGGGTTTTCTTCTGTAATACAAACTATTCATTTCTCGAGCAGTAGCCCTTCTTTCTCAAGACTGTTTTATCGGCGAGCATAACCTGGCATCAAGCTACAATTTTGTCAGCGCTCACGAATTGTTGTTCTGAATGAAAAACTCAAGGCAACGCCGTGAAGAAAACTCAACGGTGGCCAGGGTTCGTCTGTTGGTGATTGACGTTGTGTTCTTCAAGTTTAGGTGGAAACTTCTTGCTCCCCAGTTTGGGAACCGAAGCAGTTGAATGATAAACAATCGTTTATAATGAATACAATTCAGAAGAGCGTTTTAAATTCATGTCAGCGAGTTTTAGTGACCACGACGGCGACGCCGAGGTCAACGTCGATTTAAAAAACGAATTTATATTTTACCAATGAATCTCGTGGTACTTCAAAGTCATTTACTTTGTTTATCACTGTCAAAACTATGACAGAACTAAATCTGGAACACAGCGATAAATTTGAAATTTAGTAATCGTAGAATTCAGGGAGTAATCGTGCTCGTAATTTCAAATCGGCCTCGCGCTTCGCGCTCGTCCGAATTTCAAATTACTCGCGCGATTACTCCCAGAATTGTACTCTACTGGATCCAATTACTATTACAAATCTTTTCAGTGGCGTTCCCGTTGCCGTTGCCGTCGGGATTTTCTTAAACTCCCTGCTATTTCCATGACTGAACAGGCTGTGGTCTATCTTTCTAAGAAACGAATGAAAAAGGAGTTAGAACAAGTTTTGTAGTAAACTAACTGTGTTTGGTTATTCTTTATATTTCAGGACATTGGTGAAGGAACCCGATTGTTTTTCAGCCTCGGCAAAGGACCAGCGTTTGAAACGTTGAATCAGCTCATTCATTTTTACCAACAGAAACCATTAAATGGCGTCTCTCTTGCCTTGAGAACACCTTGTCCCAAAAATAGGATAAACCGCTAACTTCAACAAGTAATGAGTGGTAGTCATGTTAAAGGAACAGCAACCGGCGATATCAGAGACGGTCTCTGAAGAGGATACCTTCGGAAAACACGATAATTGTCGTATATTTTACTCGATTAGTACTTTTAACATGGATAATGAATTTCACTTGTGACATAAAAGAGCTTAATTTTTTTTTTTTTTTAAAGGAGAGAATGTTTATGATTTATCCATAAAAATCGAAATGAAATTATGACTTTCACGTATCGTTTACATTCTGTAGCCTAGATAATTTTGATTAGCCTCTTTCTGTTAGTTTACCAACCCTCTTTCGCTTGATCCGTCGTGCGTGACGCGAAAGAAAACCGCGAGAGAAAAAATGGCCGCGCGAACTCCTGGGGGCGAGAAGCACGCGTCTTGCCCCTAGGATTTCACGCGGCCATGGCGGTTTGTGTACGGTCTCGCTCGACGGACTAAGCGAAAGAGGGATAACTCGTAGTCTAAACCACTCGCGCAGTTCTCGACATTTCAGACATTCATTGTTACTGTTTGTGATCAGCCAAACAATTAGACTAACTTAAACTTGTTAGAAAGATTTCCAGAACTACTTGGAAACTCATAGACCTTTGCTTAAACGGCGCCAGTATTTGAATAACAATACTATTACATCCTAAGCCTCACGTTCATGTGAAAAATCCTTTGTCTAGAAACAGCAGTACGAGCCTACGGTGTACAAAGTACTGTTATTCAAATTCAGGCGACATTTATGCAAAGGGTCCATTGAGTAAACTTTGGAGGGCCACTTTAGAAATTGAATTTTTAATCGCAGGGAAAGAAGACTTGTAAATAGTTTTTATTAAGTGAGATCATGTATGTACAAGTGAACTAAAACTATAACAATCTTGTAAATTAAATGATTACATGAGATAGGAGGTGGTAAGTGTGAAAAACTAAGGTTATATTATGAAAACATAAAATTGTGAGTTAAGGTTCTATTCACTAGTGCTACGTAATCTGAGGTGGAGAGATCTTATAAAGAAAAATATACAAAGAAATAAATAAAACAAGATGTCATTCAACTATTCACTGGTTTTCTACCAACGTACGATCCGGGGGGGCGACTTCCATATAAAAAGGACGGGGGGTGCGCGTCGGAAATCTTGAAAAGAACCCCCAAGAGATACCAAGATCCTGTTATGTGGGCGAGGCTTGAAATTTTTTTTTAGCCCTCAGAGGTATCGATTCTAAAACAATACATGATCTCCTGTTATTTTTTTTTTTCGGCTCAATACCCTAAACGGTACCGCAAACGCTTCGCTGTGGACGTTTTGAGGCTGAACAGCCTAACAGAGGTACCAAAATCTGGGATACGATCAAGTAGGTTTGTTTACGAAAGAAACATCCGGGATAGACAAACAAAGCAAGCTCTAGGGAAAAAATTACAAAGCTGCGATCAAATTCTGAACGAGTGTAATGCATCAGTTAATTCTAGCAGTGCTCATTCCCCGGGGCAACATTTTATTTCGTTACGCGTTTTTATTCTTCGTTATATTAAACCAAGTCCCGTTTAAACTCCATACAATGGCTTCTAGAGCGCTCAAATTCTCAATGGCCCAAAGTGTAACACAACACCGCGCACTTTAGGTGGTCACGTCCCCACTCGATACTCGTACATAAATCATTAAATTATATTAATTTCATCGATTCCTCGAATCGTGAGTTTTGGGACGCCTGCGGCTCAGCAAGTCGCATCAATGTATCTACAGCACGGCATCTCTCTNACATAAATCATTAAATTATATTAATTTCATCGATTCCTCGAATCGTGAGTTTTGGGACGCCTGCGGCTCAGCAAGTCGCATCAATGTATCTACAGCACGGCATCTCTCTATCTTCGCACTATCGCAGTACTGAATGCGATGCCATGAAACTGGTGCAGTACAAATACAAGGAAAAAACGCTTAAACGAAACTTTATAAAATTAACGAACTCCGTAGTGTATTTTTAGCACCGGAAGTGACGTCGTATTTTGTGGACTGGTCTTTTTGAAGGGGGGGAGGGTACGGGGCAATTTCCAAAAACAACAAAAAATACCGCACAGCAAAAGCAGCTGAAAAATAATCGCACAAGGGTAGCCATGGAGAAAAATCGAGCGAGTGCTTTCCATATACAGGTCCTGGTCCCTGGTCCGTGTTTGACTTAAAAAAAATTCACAAAAAAATCATGCACATCGTACGGTGGGAAGAAAATTCACGCCCAGCGAACGCCCATCTCAGGTGATCTTCCCCACCCCCCAGCCCTGTAGAAACGCCACCTCGTCCCCAGGACGAGGTTGAGGAAACTCACATGTTCGCGAGAGGATCTGGGTACATGTTGCTTGCATATTCTCTCGATCGTTGGGGTGTGCGCGCGTGGTGTGTGGAAAGATGAACCCTAACTATAAAATAATTGGGGAATCGTTTGTGAACTCTTACTACCAGCTTTTCGACACCAACCGGGCCGAACTGGCGAATTTTTATGTGAGTGTCTTTCTCTTTTACATTTTTTTATAGCATAGCTACGTTAGAGCTTACTGAACTTCTGATTACTGTTACTTCGAACCTTTCGTTTCGGATATTTCGCGGCTGTCTAATGTATAATGTTATAACTCTGTCTTCATTCTACGTTTTGTGCAGAGAAACTCGACCTGTACTGCCAAGAGAGCTTTTTCTTTTCGACAGTTTACCTTATAAGTCTTAATATCCTGAATTCTTTTGGTTTCGCTCTCGATCACTGTGAGACGAATCAACAGCTAGGTAATGTGATATAAACTCCACGATCTGTTTTTCGTAGCGACTTTCAGTTATTTTGTTTTTTTATTTACTTACCAATTAATCACTAACACTGGACCTAGTAATTAGGGACTGTTCGTTCCGCTAAGATCGGGTACCCCTCCTAGAGAGTGAATTTATTCAAAAATTACCCCCCCCCCTTTATAATGGGTCTGTCAAAATCCTTTACCCCCCCTGCCACACAGACTACACAGCCACTTAGTTTTCCCGAATAGGCCATCCTTTATTTAAGAAATAGAAAACTTTTACAATGCGTGTACCTTAATGCCAACCGTTTTCCTACGACATGGGAAAACAAAATGCGAACTTCCAGTTTCGTTTTTCATTTACCCACTCCATCGGAAAAGGGAATTGGAACTTCTATTTTCATTTTTCGTTTTTCCATGACTTCGTACAACAGGATTGCAATTGTCATTTCTGCTTTTCGTCTTCTATTTTTGTAAGACATTGAAAAATGGAATTTGAACTTCAATTTTCGTTTTTGGTTTTCGTTTTCTATTACATTATCTCAAGACAGTACAGCCTATCAAGCAGACGCTAGCGCTTTTTGGGTTGTACCTATATTTTTCCTACCTTACAATCCTCAAAATGACGTCATGGCTAACTGTACATGATGTCACTGACTGTACATACAGAGTTTTGATTTCAACAAATAGCATAAAAAAGTTCTGCAGCTATATTAATAGAAAACTAATATTTACGAATTTTCAGCCCGCTACAAACCGTGTCAAGCGAGTTCAATGTTAATAAAAGCCTTCAGTTGAATAGGACTACCACGATATCAATATCGGCAAGGTAATGAAATTATGCGCATACTATCACAAATCACAGAATTAAATGGTTATTTAAGTCCCACTATAAAGTCAAAAAGTTTCAGTACAAAGGCTTGTCATGATTGATTTGGAACATACAGTAGAACCTGCAATATGGCACCTTCTACTTCGATATCGACCGNCTATAAAGTCAAAAAGTTTCAGTACAAAGGCTTGTCATGATTGATTTGGAACATACAGTAGAACCTGCAATATGGCACCTTCTACTTCGATATCGACCGGTCAGTGTAAAATGCAGACTGCGGTCTGGAGACCGGGGTTAAAATGCAGACTGAGGGTAAAATGCAGACTGCAGACTATAGACTTTTTAAGTATATATCGACGGTGTAATTTCCATTATCGATTTCTAACCGGAAACAGGGTTATTCAGGCTAATCCCAGTGAAAGTTTGCTATGCTCCGGTTAGCCTGAATATCACCGGGGTTAGCTTAAATAACGCTCCGGTTTGCAGTTTGCCTGTTTACGGTTAGCTGTCAATGATGGAAACGGTAACACGACTCATTTAAAAAGTCTACAGTCTACATTTTACCCCTGGTCTGCAGTCTGCATTTTTACCCTCAGTCTGCATTTTACTGAAGTCTGCAGTCCACAGTCTGCGTTTTACACTGACCGAATATCGACTGTTCCATCTGCAACTGACCTTCTCTTCTTGATACCATGACAACTGAAAAACCTTTTTACACTTAGCAAACTACTGTGCAGCCCCTTAGAATCGGGTAAAGGTTCTTGATTACCTCAAGAAGGTCTTCATAACTATTATTTTCCTCAATAAGAAAACAGCGGACAAAGACTTCATCAAGCATGTGGTTTCCAAGTCTTTCATAGCATCAGGAAGTGCCAATATTCTTTTGATTCAGGTAGCATAAGAAAGTGACAAAAGCACAGAAACAAAAAAAGAAAATTGAAGTTCAAATTCCTTTTTTCAATATCTTATAAAAACGAAAGACGAAAATAGGAACTGACAATTCTATTGTCCAAAGTTGTGAGAAAACAAAAATAAAAGTTGGAATTCCATTTTCAATGTAGTAGGAAAACGGAAAACAAAAATGGAATCTCAAATTCCCTTTTCCGATGGCGTGGGTAAACAAAAAAACGAAATTCGAAGTTCGGATTCCGTTTTCCCACATCGTAGGAAAACGGTTGGCACTAAGGTACACGCATTATTTACCTTGTTCCTCTTGAGTTTTAGTATAAATCTACTAGTGCTCTATCACAAATGCCGCTCTCTGATTGGTTACGCTACTCCCATCTATTAAGCAATAGTGATAGAAATCTCGAGCTCATAATCTAATTGCTCGTTAGTATAAATCTACTATCTTTCATGAATGCTGTTCTCTGATTGGCTACGTTACTCACTATCTATTCTGTGATAGATAGTGAGTAGCGTAGCAGTGTGTGCCTGTTAACAAAATGACGGCCACTTCTTGGCGTTTTGAAGTGTCTGTGAAAAGGATTTAGATAAAGTTTTGAACGACTGGTAGATTTATACTGTCTAAAACAATTAGATTACTTGCTCTTGTTTTCTATACGTGATAGTTGATGAGGGCTTCTCATTTGTATTACAATGTATTTCAAATATCTGGACGTCTGGCAAAATAGCCTGAAATTACCTCACATACATGCTGGATTACATTACAATACAACTAAGAAAAGTTAATTGTGAAAAGGTGGCTGGTGTATGCATTATTATAATTCATATTTGAGCGGTTTTCAGTTGCGTGTTAAAGAAATTAGACTTTGGTTTTGGTTTTGGTTTTACTACAGTTTGAGATTGTCTGAGTAGTCTAATTGGTAAGTAATTGGTTTGGTTTTGGTTTTAGGACACTCAATTGAAAATCACTCTAATTTATTTAATTAATAATTGCTGCCCGTAATTAGGGCAGTCTCCTTTTTCTGTCCTGATATCTCAACTTCTGGTTATTTGTTTGTCAGCAGTTCCCAGGCCCCACTGCATAGAAAGTCTGCAATTGGTGAATTTATGATGGACAGACTTGAATATGCGACCTTGTGCTTTGACTGTTCATTGAGTACATTTGTTGATGCAAAGGGAAGCATTCAAAGGGAGTACAGTCAACTCTCAATAACTTGAACCCTTGCTAATTCGAGCTTTGCGCTAACTCGAACCAAAAGCAATTTCCACTGGATTTCCCTCATACATTTACTGTAATTTTACCCTCAGTCACTCAAACCCTCAATAACTCAAACCTCCCACTAACTCAAAGCAATTTTCATTTCCCTTTAGGTCATTTTCTATATAATTTTACATTTGATAACTCGAACCATGTCTGTCAATACGTGACAAGTCAAAACAGTGTACCATAGTCCAAAACACTAAATTTATTTTGAAGCAGCCGTGTGAAAAAACCTGATAATCTTTCCACTGTTTCAACAGTGTGATGGGTGCCTGTTCCTCTTACTGCATGGGGCTCATGGCTGGGTTGCCAGGATTTGCCCGCCATGGGAGCAGTCTTCATCTAGGAGCTGGCTGCCAATAGTGGAAGTTCCTGGATGTCTCAGGCACCCAACCTCCAGTTTAGCAATGCACTTGTTAAGTTGTTTTAAACAGTGATCCAGTTAAGTTTGCTGGTAATGTGTTTGGTCAACAGGGAATTCCAGCATATTGAAATTTACTAAGGAACTAATAAATCATCAGATGTTTTCCATTATAATCTTTCATGTCATGTAACTAACCTTGTCGGGGTTTTTGACCTAAGATTTCTCTCTTGTCTGCAATACTGAATCGAAGTGGTTATGTTTTCTTTGAAGACTGCAGATTCCATGATGACATTCGAAGGAAACCAATTCGGAGGAACAGAGGCAATTAAAAAAAAGCTAGTAGTAAGTTCCAACATTAAACTGTTTTAAATAAAATGTTTCTAACCTTTAACAGAGTGTGATGTGACTAAAGGAAATTTAAGTGAAGTTAGAATTTTACAGTTGCTTGTCAACAGTTCTGTATGGTAGTTAACCTGTAATCAGGTGGTTTTTTTCAATTCTTTCTTTCTTTCTTTCTTTCTTTGTTTGAATGTGTGTGTTAAATGGGAAAATGGTAACACCTGATTATAGGTTACTTAGCAGTGATACACAATGAATACATCTTACTAACCGAGCTTGAGGTCTGAACTAGGAGTTACAGACCAAGTTTTTTGCCCTTCAATTTATGGCCCAGGTGCGCACGCAGGCCATGAATGAAAGGGAGAAAACGAGGATCTGTACCTTGCAGTACAGGCCGAGAAGATATTTATTATATCTCTACTGTGTATCTGACGGGTTCAGGAATGATTTCTATTCACGCAGAGCAACTTTAAACATTTGTCACACATCAAAAGCAAACTGAGTCAATTTGAAATCGTTGTTAAGTTTTGAGCATATTTTAATACACAATTTAAAATTAAAGAAAGTTTTAAACTTTGAATTGCTGTAAAAGTTAAGAACACCTGACAATAAATCTCGGAACTTTTTGGCAAAAAGAGCTTTAAATTTTAGCAGGCCATACAGAAGAATAGAACCTGCTAAATTGACCAACCGCAGCATGCGTAGTAACTAAGTGATATAATGAGAGTGCTTAAACGAGGGTTTCACTTGTTTTAAGTTTCAGCTGTGTGCTTTTTGTGCCCACCGGTACTCACTCTTCTCTCACCCTTATTATGTTAAATATTTGGGTTGGTTGCCATCAGTCAGTGTTGTTATGGAAACCTCCATGCTTTAATCAAATCATGTATGGACTCGCCATGTTTTAGTCACGTTCTCCAAGCCCATCTACTCGCAATCGTTTAGTTTTAGTCAGAATCAAACCAATTTATCATGAAATCTTGCACTGTTTGTTGTGAACCCTAAATCTTGAATAGTAAGCTTATTTTTCGTCTAAGTTTGGTTTTATAGTATAAAAAACATGATTATGTTCAGCTTCCCAGCAGGGTTGTGTTCCTTAGTTTTCTCTTGTTATTTTTACTATAGACATATTTTGAATACACTGTCACAAGGCTAGCCTATGTCTATTGTTACAGTGGGGATCCAGAAATTTCCTCTCCTGATTAATCCAGCTTGAGAGCAGATCCATAAGTTGCCATTCCACTCATATTATTTACTGTTTCACTTATTTCAAGGAGTTGCCATTTGTTACTGTTAAACATGTAGTAACCACTGTGGACTGTCAGCCAACTGTACAAAACGGAGTGGTTGTCTATGTAGTTGGGCAACTTAAGGTGTGTATTAGGCCATATTCATATTCTCAGTATAATGTCTACAGGTGTAGTTGGGCAACTAAAATAATAAAGGTATAGATTAAATACAGATTTTCTAGCAGAGTAGTCAACCGTCATTCTGCATTAGTAATCAACACGGGAGCAAATTACAGTTAACTTGTTTTTTGCTATTCGGTATCACTTCTTACTTGTTGCCATATATGTTTTAGCATTAGATTTAAACTGCTCACTTTTAACAAGAATTGAGATGTTAAGGAAAACTGGATGCTCTAAGGAGCTTTGCCGTGGATGGCTTATCTTAAAACAGGGACGACGAAGTGGTGAGAGCGCTCTCCTCCCACCAATGTGGCCTGGGTT